GCGGCGGGAGCAGCCGCTCGCGGAGGTGCTGGGGCGGAGGGGGGCTGAGCTGGCGGCGGGCCTGCTAGCCGCGCTGGTCGCGCCCTCGCCGCTGCCGCGCGTTCACAAGGTGGCGGCGCTGCTGCTAGAGCTGTCGCAACTGGCGGCGCTGCTGGAGGCGCAGCAGAAGCAGCAGCAGCAGCAGCAGCAGCAGCAGCAGCAGCAGCAGCAGCAGCAGCAGCTCGCGCAGTCGTGGCTCGCGGCGGCGCTGGCGGCGCTGCCGCCAGGCCAGCTCGCGCCGGGCGAGGCGGCCGCGGTCGCGCGCGCGTGGGGGCCGCTGCTGGCGCAGCACGCGTCACGATCGTATGTCGTGCTGCGGCGGCTGCGGCGCGCCGTGAGGGAATTCGCCGAGCGCCACGCGCGCCGGTGACGGGTTTTACACGCGGCCCCTGCCGCGGTGAGGAGGGCTCGCCTGTGCCTGAAAAGTCGCCGCTGCCGGCGACTCTGATGCCGGAGCTGCGGCAACTCAATCGCGCGACAGAAGCTTCCGCCGGGCGGGAGTTGTTGAGGGCGCACATGAAATGTTCATGCCGCGGCACGATAATGCCAGCTCTGTTTTGCGCATGGAAGCGCGCTTTTTGCGTTGGAAATGTCGTCACTTCCCGGCTGCACGTCACTCATGCGCTGCTACTGCCAGAATTGCTGACATGCTGCTCGTCCAGCATCGCCCCTTCACACTGCAGCAACAACTTGCGCGCGAGCGGCGCTCGGCACCGACCGCCAGCTTCCCGCGCACATGACATTCTTTGTAAACAACTCAATCAATCAAGCTGAGGAGAGGGCAGCATCCGATCTTCGTACAGTACTTACAGTGCAACTCTTTCTCATCAAGCTTAAGAGCACACCAACAGCCATCATGCGCCTGCACAAGCCAGCTGACGGGCATGATGCTGCGCACGCTGGTTGGACCACCACTAGCCCGCCAAGGGCACGTGCACACACATGCACACACCGTTGCCGCAGCAAACCCCGCTGCTTCTGCAGCAGCGGCCGTGCGCCAGGGCGCCTGCGCCAGCGAGCCTGGCCCGATACAGGGCGGCACGGACTCTTCACTCCACGACGGCTGCGGGCGCGGGCTTGCGCCAGAGGGCCTTGACCGTCTCTGTGAGCCCTGGGCCCGAGAGGTTGACCTTCATAATCCCCAGGTAAGCCACCACACTGCCAGCCAGCACGGCGGCGCGGACGGGGGCTGCAGGGTCGGGCGCAAACGCACGCACACGGCATCATGCATTTTTGGGGGGTGACGAGCGGCGGGTGTGTGAGTTGGTGTCAAGAGCAAGGTGAGGCAGCTGGGTGCGCAGCTGGTGCGCCCATGAGCCACGGCTGACGTGCGTCCATCTAACAGGCATCAGCTGAGGCTTCAACTCCTCTGGCTCGGCATCTGGCACGTGCCGAACCCTCCCCCTCCCCCGGCCACGGCCACACGCCCTTGGCCGGTGCGGGCAGCGCACCACGGAACCGGGTGGGCACATAATCAGTGACACACGCGTTCATGCTGATGTGCATGTGGACCGGCACCGCCGCCGCCAGAACCCAGTCGGAGAGCTTCTGGGTGCCGCTGCCCTGCGGGTGTGGTTGAGATGTGGGGCGGGACGGCGTTTCGTGCGCAGCAGGCGCTCGTAATGACATCCGCAGCCAGCATTTAATGTAATATGAGCGCCTGCGTCTGGAGGCCGCCGAGCCCGTGTGCACCGGGTCAACCACCAGCACAAGTGCACAAGTGGCGAAACGCGATGTATCGCTGCTGCTGGCGCTGCGCAGCGTGCCCCACCTTGGCTGAAAGCGCCGCCAGCGGCACAAACGCTGCGGTGCAGACAACAGCAGAGTGCACGTGATCGAGCGGCAGCGTCGGGGGCAAAGGCGATACATCACAGAGCAGTTTGCACTCCGACGAGAGAGGCTGGCAAGGCGCGGAGAACGCCGCAGCACGGCGACTCCTCGGCGCACCGCCAAGGGCGTAGGCGCTGAACTCGTGTGCCTTGTGGAACCCAGCGATGTCAGCTGCCAGTATGCGATTCATCCCTACTATCTCTGTCCGCTGCGCCGCGCTGCGCGCCCTGTCAAGCGGCCGGTTGCCTCTCAACCTGGAACAGTACTTTCAGATCTGGTGATACGGGATGCCTGCAAGCGAGGTCAGCCGTGAAGTAAGGTTCAACACACAAACATACGATTGAACTGGTAGCACGTCCTGTATCGGAAGGAGACGGGCTCCGGAGCTGTCAGTTGTGTGTGCTGCCGTGGCTTTTCCACAACCCCGATGTCGAGAAGGCCGTTCCGGCCCAACATTATCCCGTATCCTGGTTATGACCTTATCGCACGCTGCTTTTACGTTGTCTTCGTATCCTAAGACGACCTCTATTGTGATCTGGGATATATCAAGCAATGATGCGGTCTCAGGGCACCCGCCTGCTGCTACAGGCGGCTAGATATGCCGCAAACAATCATCAAGCGGCAGCAGCGGGAGAGAGCGCGGCTTGTGCCAGCCTGCAGCAGCTCAGGTATGAAGGTCCCAGTCGCACCCAGGGCTGGTTCCGAGCCCTGGGAGCACAGCCTCACTGGCGCCCCCACCGCGCTCATGTAGGTACATCGGAGGAGATCGTATTCCTGAGTTTTATGCAAAGCCGTCGCCATACACGGAGGGCACCACGTTCCTCGGCACGCCGCCAAACCATGAAGACGTGAGCGGATGCTGCGGTTGCAGCGCAGCGCCGACCCTGATGCGCTCTGGAACAAGCAGCACCTAGCAATGCTCTTCAAACTCATATTCAGACGGGAACGGCAGGCTGAGGCAGGCCGCGCGTCGCAGCATCGACGCGTGCTCAGCTCGTCGCCCGCCGCATGTCCCAGTGCCGCGCCCGCGCCCGCCCCAAACACCCCGCGGCCGCCCCGGGCCCGACCTCCCCCCTTCCCCCCTCAGCTGGTTAAGAAGCGGCCGCTGGCGCCGGACGTCTTCGAGGTGGACATGAAGGGCACCCATTACAAGATGCCCTGGGGCGCGGTGACGTCCATCGCAAACAGGGTCACCGGGGTGGCGCTGTCAGTGGGTGAGCGGGCGCAGGCATGGATGGCGGCGGGGTGGGGCGGCTTCTTGCCAAAGG